ATCGTTTAGCAAATCAACAAAGAAGAACACCCACTTCCTAGTGCCAAAGCAACAGGTATGGCCTCAGATGCTCCACTTCAGCGCACTGTGGAGAAGCTCAAAAGTGAAACTATGGGAATTCTGAGAAGAGCAAACAGAATGCCTCCCAACTACATGAAGAATTTTTAATTTCAAAGAGTAGAGCTCATCTTATAAAAACTCCTCTTCAACCTCAAAACCATGATGGCATGGAAGAAGTCAATGAAACATCTCTTCTACCATACATTCAGGAAGCTCATTATGAGGCAGGACAAAACGAGGAGGAAGATCAAATAATTCCATATCAACAACAGGAGACTATTGAGAACCAGCAACCGCATGTAAATTAAGACCAGCAGGCAACTGAATCCCACAGGCAATTCCCTTCTCAGCCAGGCCCATCACAAGAGATTGCTAGTTCCACAAATCCTCCACAACTCCAAGATCATAATCAAGAGGTTAGCAAAGAAAAGAATAAGGATGGACACATCTCTCCACAAACAAGTGAATCAGATCAACAGAATCAGCAACTACCTCCTCCTAAATCTCCGGTTAAGTTTCTCACTCATCTGGAACAATTAGATGCTGATTTCATAGGAGTAATGGGATGGAGACTGTAGAAATTGTCACTAACAGTGAATCAAGCTCAAACATTTCATCTCATGGTGAGAGATGAACAATTTGTCAAGGCATGGATGAACACTGATGATCTTGGAACATGTGTCTCCTTTGATGAGATAACCAAAGTTTACTAGACCACGAAGGCGGCTCTACTTGGTAAAAATCCCATTGAAGAAGACACCCAAGCCCAGCAGCAAACCAACAAGAAGATCAGATTCTGTTGTCAAGTGATGAGGAAGATGATCTTGATCTTAAAAGCGATCTGGAAATATCCAAATGGGAAAATTACAAAACCACAGAGGAGACATCTAAGATACAAGGTTACTCACCACCTCTTCCATCCACTATCAATTTTGAAGCATTGCTACAAGCAACAGAAGAAAGGTTGAGTGCTAAGATAGATGCTCCACAAAAGATCATTGAGCAACAAGCTCAAACATATGAGGATATGGCCAAACAACTTACAGCTATCAACACTCTTCTACATGAATTTAAGAGTGTCCCAACAGGGAAGGTTGTGAAGAAAACGAAGGTTACTCCCACTACAACAGATCAAGAGAAGTCAGCTGATCATCTTCCTTTACTACAATAACACCAAATAACCAAGAGCCAACTGATTTACACAGCCAACAAACATCTCATTTTGTGCCACCATCATCAACTACATTAACACTCATTGTTGATATATGCCAGGTACTCAATCTTCCACCCCCGTCTACAAATATATCTGATCTTGATCAAGTTATCAAAGAACTCAAGGAGCAAAACGCAAAAGTAGATGCTCAATGCAAATAAAAACTAAAAATATGGTGAGAGCTCACACCATACTTTTCAAAAAGGCTGAAGGTTTAGAAGCAGAAATGAAAAAGCCCATCGAGCAACTACAAAAAACATGCATCACATTGTATGACTTCTGTAGATAGAAATTTCCAGAAACAGATGTACAAGTCCCCTCAGCAATTGAAAAGGCTATCTCAACGGAAAAGGGATTTGAAAGCCTAGAAGACAGCTTCAATAGCATCATAATGGAATTGCTAGAAGTCCAAGATAAAATCTCCCTTCTAGCTAAACAAATGGAGGACTCTGATACCTAAAAGGGGGAAGAAATCAAGAAAAGAACAAGGAGCACATTGGTCCTTGAAGGACCATCAGAGCCACCAGAAGGTTCAAGACTGAAGAAAGGACCTTGCAAAGCTCCCAAGACTGAAGTACTGGCAAAAGGCCAAAAAGGAGCCCTCACAAGAAAACGGAATAGAGAAATTGCTTAGCAGATAAAAGGGTCAAAGCCAAGAAAAATACTAAGCAGAAGAAGACACAAGGATCTCCAACAAATTCAATATCTTTTGTGTCCAGTTTTGAAACATAGGGTATTAAGAAAATCCTCAAGGATGTCAAGGATAAATCATTTCCTTAAAAGTTATTTTCTTTATTAGTTCTGGCATAACAAAAAAGGTTGAAGTTGTTAGGCCCCTCTATATTTTGATAATGCATCCGTTACAGACTTTAAACACTATCATGTACTTTGTAACTCACTCGATCGTTCATTTTAAGAAAGAAGTACTCATGAAAAAGAAAAAAAAGAGTACTCACAAAATAAGGGAAGAATGTACCAAAACAAAGAAAAGAAAAGAGGTACAAAAAGAGTCAACTAAATCTATTTTGTTCTCAAAAAATCAGCAGTCCACTGATTTTCAGGTAGCTGATTTAAACTAAGTCGTTCACTCTTACAGGTAAGTCAAAGCCTTACCAAGTCATAAACCCCACATTGAAATACGAAGCAAGGTAAAATTCGTTTTGACTAAGAAAATACATTTGCAACTTTTTCGTATTAAACGAATAAAAAGAAAAATGTCATTTCTGCCATGGGACCCAAGTACGAAAAAAGGCATTACAAGTGGGCTGAAGACTTTGCCCGAATTATTTGAGTCAAATACAACTCACTTAGCCCATACTCCCTTATTCATACAAGTATAAGCATGATCTCGAACAAAAGAACAAAAAGAGACTCAGATTACGCCTAGTCAAGAAACAAAAGGGAGCATGTTGAGGACAAAAGATCAAGTGGATTAATCAACGTTCCAGATTGAATCTCCTCAACCAACGGGAAATATTCAACACCAAAAGTTTATAAATACACAAGGAATGTGAAGCTAAAAAAGGCAACGAGCTGAGTGCAAACAACACAAGAATACACATAAGATTCAGCAAAAGAGAAAGTGTTTATTTATAACTTTACTCTTAGCTCGTTCACATTTCTTTTAACTCTTAGTCTAGTTTACTCTGAAAATTCATACTAGAGCTCAGAATAGTCGGAAAAGATATTGTAACACCTTTGGAAGATTTTGTGAACAAATCCAAAGAGTGAGTGAGTGAGTAGAATATAGAGTAGCTTTTGAATCATCTTGGTTCATTAGTGAAAAAACTGGGAGTTAGGGCTGAGTAGCTTTTGAATCACCCTGGTTCATTAGTGAAACACCTAAAGGCAATAGTAACTTGGAGTGGGTTGTAATCCTTGTGAAAACTTGACAGTTTATGCCTATGATCAAGGGTAAACTGGTCACCAAGTGTATTGGTTTAATAACTTAGTGGAAATCCATGTAAAAGAGGATGTGACTGGACGTAAGAGGATCACAACACCTCTGAACCATGACATATCACTGTGTCATCACTTTAGACTATACAAATCACCCACTAAGTCCCACAACTAGCTGCATTAATACAAACTTAGTTTGTATACCCAACTTAAGTTAAAAAGTCTTTGCTATTCTTGAAACGCGTCCTAAACAACTATTAGAAAACAACTCTCTCAAAATCAAATTTTCAGTTGACTACCGATTCCATTATTATCAAAAGCAGCTCAAGCTTATATCATGTCTTGAAACATGACTTAATCTCTACCTCTTCATACCTCACCATACAAGTCCCAATATCACCTTTTGTTCAATATAAAGTGTGTCCATAAAAAGATTAAGACTTCCGTTTCTGATTCTAAAACCTCTTAAAAGGTTTAAGAATCAACTCACAAAGAGGGAGAGGAACTCAAAATTGAAAAAGATTTAAAAGACTATTCACCCCCCAATCCTCAAAACTTTTACATTACCAGGGACCATCAAATACAACTCTTCACCATACAATTTTCACTTTCTCGATTCCTGTGCAAAACTCATTCTAAAAGATAATTGGGAGAATTCCCTAAATATGATTAAATGAAACTTTAATTGTCAAAGTATGACCATAGCTTAACAATTCCCTGAATACGTCTAGCTTTCCGATTATACCCTTGGTTTGTTTTAATACTTTTGGAACTAATCCAGCGCGAAATAATAAATATAGATATAAATATATAAAATTATATGTGAGTACTATTGATAATTAGTTACTTAATGCATAATGTATAATTACAATATGAATACACATTTTTTGACATGTTTTAGACTTCACTCATACAGAACTCTAACTCCACCCAATAAGATCACAACTATCAAAAATGTAAATGGACTGTGTGGTGAACTCGAATTGTAAAATTGATCATGAGTTACTTCAGATACCGATACAATATGTCAATTTAGACATGCGTTTGACAAGTTTTAGTCTCTCCTCATATTGTGTAAAATTGATCATGAGATACTTCAAATAGTTGTAGCCTTATTGAGTGAAATTAGGGTTTTCTATGAGTGGAACCTAAAACATGTCAAACACAAGTGTTCGTAAATGTTCATATTGTATCGATATATGAAGTAAGTCATGATCAACTTCACAACTCAAGTTCACCATATAGTCCAAGTACATTTCATACAGTTGAATTCACCATATTGTGGTCTTATTGTGTCAAATTGAGACGTTCTATCAGTAGAGCCTAAATCATCTCAATAACAAGTGTGAATATCATATTTTATCAATATATGAAGTATTTCATGGTCAATTTTACAATTCGGGTTTATCATATAATCCAATTGCATTTCACATAGTTGTGGCCTTATTGGGTGGAATTAGGGTTTTATGAGCGGAGTCTAAAACATGTCAAACACAATTGCAAAAGTCCATATTGTATTAATGTATCAAGTAAATAATGATCATTTTTACAATTCGAGTTCACCGCGCAATCCAATTGCATTTCGGATAGATGCGGCATTATCAGGTGGAATTAAGGTTTTCTATGAGCGGAAGCTAAAAAATGTCAAATACAGGTGCAAATGTTCATATTGTATCGATATATGAAGTAACTCGTGATCAATTTTACAATTCAGTTTCACCATATAGTCCAATTGCATTTCAGATAGTTGTAGCCTTATTGAATGGAATTAGGATTTTATATGAGCGAAGTCTGAAACGTGACAGACACAAGTGTACATTTTCATATTGTATCAGTATATTAAGTAAATCATGACCAATTTAATAATTCGGGTTTATCATATAGTCTAATTGCACTTCGGATAATTGTGCCCTTAATTGTGAAATCAGGGTTTTCTATGAGTGGAGAGTAAAATATGTCAATCACAATCGTAATTACTCATATTTTACAAATATATTAAGTAAATCATGATCAATTTTACATTTCTGGTTCATCAGAGAGTCCAATTGCATTTTGGATACTTGTTCACGTAGGGTATCCATACTTTTCCCGGTTTGACCATGAACCAAACTTGACAAGGATCGGCCTTATTGAGTAGTTTCAACCTGAAGTACTATTATGTAAAAAATGTACGTAAACATATAATTTTTTACACGTCAATCCACATCATAATAAATTAGTTCATACATCAAACTAAGGTTTCGTATATCTGGCTCAATATGTGCCATCAATAATTTTGAACGATTGATTATGGACCTCAGGATAGATAATGTTCCTTATAATTGGATTCACAATGACCACTAAAGAGTGTGGTGTCAACCATATGAGATATATATGGATGGAACCTGAAAGAAACAAAGCATGAGTAAGTTTCCTAGCTATTAATCGTCAAACCTGGTCAGACATGGTCAAACAGAGTCGAACTAGTTCAAACTAATCAGTAGAACAAGATCAAACAGGTTAAAATTCAATAGAGTAAAATAAACAGTCCTAGGCTATCAGAACTGGTCAATTCAAAAAGAATTTGAAACTCCAATAATGCATTCAACCATGGTAGAATAAGGTAAAACTCGTGCATACTCATTGTTGGGATATATTATCCCGGCCTATTATTGTTCAGGAGCCCAAGACATTATCCAGTACGGAGCCCGAGCAGCTAGGTCCATTTCGGCCCATTCTGGCCCACTTTGGCCATTAGGCCCGACATCGGCCCGTTTGGCCCATTAGGGTGGAGTACTTCCCTCACCCCTTTTCCTATTTATAGGAGGTTTTCCCTCCATGTAGAGGATCCCTTCCTTCTTCCTTCTTCCTTTAGAATAGCTTGCAATACTCCATTAATGGAGCTCAAATTGTACTTGTAATGGTGAGGAGAGTCCTAATGAGAAAGAGAGGGCTTGGACATTAGCCTAAAAAGTCCCGTGGTTTTCTCTCTTTCGGGTTTCCACGTAAAAACTGAGTGTTCATACATATATTTACTATATCGTGTTGGATTAAACTCAACACCGGCGCCGTCTGTGGGAATCTGTCCAAAAAGATTCATGTGTTCTACACAAATTTCATACGATCGACTATTGATTTCAACAAAAAAAACAAAGAATAAAGATTCTGGAAAGCAAGCAGGAGGAAGAAGGTTCGACATGACCAAAGAAACCTTTTCTTGGGAAATGGAGGAAGCTACAAAATCTGGAAGTCAAAATCTGAATTTTCCAGATCTGTTTTGACGTCGCCGGAGCCGCCGTCACCGTCGCCGCCGGCGTGGAACCTCCGTGATGTTAGCCTGCACCAGACGAGCTCGCTGCAGCGCTCCAGACATCGTGACACCTGCAACACAGTTGCTCGTCGCTCACGGCTGTTTCCACCGTCTCAGTCGCCGCACCGCCGCTCGACGCCAGCGGTCAACCACTGATTACTCCTCCACCCGGTTAGTCACGATTCGAGCCTTCACCGGCCATCCCGTTCTGCCGACGCGACTGGAGGACCTACCAACCGGGAGTCCCTTGATTTCCGCCATTAATGGTGATGTGGGGAGGATATGCTACGATTCTAGGAAGTCCGGCCCATGTTCCAACGGAGACCACCCTTCCGACTGTTTTTGCTCTGCTGCAACCGCCATGTCCACCATCGGGGAGCAATATCACATACGGCTGGCCTTTGTGCTGGTCAATGGAATATTTCATTTGGTGGCAAATTGGCCACGCCGATCCGTTAAGATGAGGACAGCAGACAGAGTCTCAAATGGATAAATGATGAATCCTTCTATTACTTTGAGTGGTCAACGATCCGGACTCCAAAAGCTAAGTATCGTAACTACCACACTTACGTATTAAGATTTACTTCTCCATATTAAAATATTAGTATTGTATTTTTATCACCATTATTTAATAGGGAGTAAGGGTTCCCAAAATTAAATAGTGAGAGCGATGCTCTAGTGATAATTAATTTCACCGTCATTTAAATTAAATGACTGGTGTTGTAGGCCCGTCGGCCCGCTCCTGGTCGGCTTTAATTAGCGAGCGGAGCATATCTGAATGGCCTTTGATAGGATAATATCATTGCTATTACCTGTTACATCACTATTATTTATTAGAGATAAAATGTCCCGAATTAAATAATGTGGAGCGAAGCTCTGGTGATGGTTGGTTCAACCAACATTTTATTGAATATATTCAATTTCTTGTGGGCCTGTTGGCCCACTCTCGATCAGCTTGATTAAGCGATCTGAGCGTCTACAAAAGGGCGATGCCCCGACGACGCATTTTAATTGGAGGGTTGCGCATTAGTCCACACGGCACTACGTGCCCGATCGACAACCGTACCCCAGAACCATCCGCGTCGCTAGGCGCGAAGTGACTATTGCCAAACGTGGCCTATGGGGCCCGAGGGCAGCAAAGCACTCAACCTCGTTTTTCCGAGGGCAGTGCGGCCAACTTGGGTCTGAGTTTGAAAACTCACGGACCGGTGAATATTTCTATGAGACGTTCGGTGGGCTGCTAGTTGGCCCCGCCGCGAGCTACTACGTCCATTAACCCCGCACGATGAGCCGGGCCGAGGGTCACGGTAACCCATAGGCCGGAAATCGTGGGTGTTAGAAAGAAAGCCATGCAGATGGTTATGTGTGTATACATATTGCCGGGCCGTGCGGCCCGTTACCATGCTTATTGCGCAGCTGAAGCTGCTCGACGCGCTCGAGCGAAATGATTAAAAGACGATCGGCCTAAGTCTCAAAGACGTTCAGGGCCAGCTAAAGTGGAGACCATCACGGCTGAGAGCCGATGGACGAGCATCTCCACCCAGAGGTCGAGAGCCTAGAGGAGACCACCACGGTTGAGAACCGTGGGACGAGCATCTCCACCCCAGAGACCGATGGCCGAGGAAGAACACCTAGAGGCCGAGGGTCTAGAGGCGAATGCCATGACAGAGAACCGTGAGACGATCACCCGTCATTCAGAGGCCGAGGGCCTAGAAGAGATCGTCACGGTCGAGGGCCGTCTGACGCCATCATTACATCATGACCGGCCCCTCGGCACAACATGATCATCATATTTGAAGATCGGCCTCGTCCCCGCACTGCGCGGATGAGGACCGTTGCTTGGATTTCAGGTCGGCCTATCATTGCCGACATCATTATATCATGACCGGCCTCTCGGCACGGCATGATTATCTTATTTGAAGACCGGGCTCATCCCCGCGATGCGTGGATGAGGACCGTTGCTTGATTTCAGGCCGGCCTCTCATTGCCGACACCATTATGTCACGACCGGCCTCCCGGCTCGGTGTGCTTCCCATATTTGAAGACCGGTTTCATCCCCGCTCCTCGCGGATGACGGCCGTTGCTTGTTTTCTCAGATCGACCTCTCATTGCCGACACCGTTATATCACGACCGGCCTCCCGGCTCGGTGTGCTTTCCATATTTGAAGACCGGTTTCATCCCCGCTCCTCTCGGATGACGGCCGTTGCTTGTTTTCTCAGATCGGCCTCTCATTGTCGATGTTATTATATCACGACTGGCCTCCCGACACGGCGTGTTTATCTTTTGAAGACCGGCCTTGTCCCCGCCCCTCGCGAACGAAGACCATTGTTTGATTCTTTCAGGTCGGCCTCTTACTGCTGACACTATCATGTTATGTTCGGCCTCTCGGCACGACATATTTATCTTTTGAAGACCGGTTTCATCCCCGCGCTGCGTGGATGAGAGTCGTTGCTTGGATATATTGGCCTGATCAGACACTATTGTCATCTCCTTATCAGGACCGACTGCTCAACGACATTATGATCATTATCGGTTCCCAATACCGACCTTCTTGAGTTAGCGATCAGACTCACCCCTCCCCTCCAGGAGGGTGACCATCGCCTTCGCATGACGACCAGCTATTCCATTGCCTCGTCATTTTATTCGTTTTGGTATCCCACCACCATTATGTGTGACATCACTTGTGGTCATTCTTAGAACCGACGAACGTATTTTCCTCCCTCAAAAAAAAAAAGATGGGGAGAAGGGGAGACAAGCTCCTATGAGAGAGGGAGTCTTGACGAGGTATGCCAGATCTTCCTTCGCCGCGAATGACGAACGTCTCCTGACACGGAGGCCAGTAGGAACGGGGGGGGGGGGGGGGGGCTAGACGAACCAAAGGGAACCTCGGCAAGATAAACCAGTTCCTCCCATTTCCCGTGGATTGGCGAACACCTTCTGCCAGAGCAGAAGGCTAGTAGGGCCACAAGCATGGGACGACGAAGCAGGGAACCCGCGATAGGGTAAACCAGTTCCTCCTTGCGATCGGTGGATGTCGAACGTCTTCTTCGAGGGAAGAAGATTAATAGGATCATGACAGGGATGAACGAAGAAACGGGAACCCTGACAGGGTATACCAGTTCCTCCCCCTTGATGGACGGATGACGAACGTCTTCTGCGAAGCCAGAAGACTAGTAACTCACGACTAGGGACGAACAGAGATAGGGAATCCCGACGTGGATAAACCTGTTTCTTCTCATAGTTGGGATGACGAACGTCTCCTGCGAAACCAAGAGACCAGTAACTCACGAGACTTGGGAAGAACGAAGACCAGTTCCATGGATCGGACACGAAGAACCAGTTCTTTACCGGAGTCTGTTGCGTGCCGAGTGTACACCGCTTAGCGGTCCATACATAGGACCACGAATACGGTAGACGAACGAGGACCAGCTCCATGGATCAGACATGAAGGACCAGTTCTCCACCGGAGTCTGTTGCGTACCGAGTGTACACCGCTTAGCGGTCCGTACATAGGACCACGAATACGGTAGACGAACGACGATTAGCTCCCCAGATCAGGTAGGAGGGACATCACCCAGATTTATTTCAGGCTCACCATTCCTTCCCGGATGGAGTCCTGACAGACGATCAGCTTCTCACAGCCAATCAGGAGAGAGACTTGACACATCACCAGCACGGCCGAGGGCCGTGAGACGATTACCACTCACCGACAGGCCGAAGGACATGAGATGATCATCACTATTTTTCTGCATCACGATCGGCCCCTCAGCGCCATCGTGTCCAGATTCGGCTCGCCCATTCCCTCCAGGATGGCGACGACCGTCTTATGCAGTACGATCGGCCCCTCAACGCCATCGTACCCAGCTCACGTTCAGCTCGTCCATCCCTTCCAAGGTGGCGACGAACGTCTTATGCATCACGATCGGCCCCTCAGCGCCATCGTGTCCAGATTCACGGTTCGGCTCGCCCATTCCCTCCAGGATGGCGACGACCGTCTTATGCAGTACGATCGGCCCCTCAGCGCCATCGTACCCAGCTCACGTTCAGCTTGTCCATCCCTTCCACGGTGGCGACGAACGTCTTATGCATCACGATCGGCCCCTCAGCGCCATCGTGTCCAGATTCACGGTTCGGCTCGCCCATTCCCTCCAGGATGGCGACGACCGTCTTATGCAGTACGATCGGCCCCTCAGCGCCATCGTACCCAGCTCACGTTCAGCTCGTCCATCCCTTCCAGAGTGGCGACGAACGTCTTATGCAGCACGATCAGCGCTTCTGCGCCATCGTGTCCAGATTCACGGTTCGGCTCGCCCATTCCCTCCAGGATGGCGACGACCGTCTTATGCAGTACGATCGGCCCCTCAGCGCCATCGTACCCAGCTCACGTTCAGCTCGTCCATCCCTTCCAGGGTGGCGACGAACGTCTTATGCGGCACGATCAGCGCCTATGTGCCATCGTGTCTGGCTCATGTTTGGCTCGCCCATCCCTTCCAGGATGGCGACGAACATCTCTTATGCAGCACAATCGGCCCCTCCGTGCCATTGTGTCAAGTTCATCTCCGGATCGCCCATTCTTTCTAGGATGGCGATGACCGTCTTATGCAGCACGTCTGCCTCTCGGCGCTGACATGCCCGGTTTATCGATGAGAGCCACCGCTTTCTATCACATCTCACATTCCTTCTCTCATACATTGCACCCATACATTACATGCATTCATGCATTCATGCATTCATGCATCATACCTCATACATTCATACATACACACGTGCATCGTGTCTTGCCAGTACCGCGACGTCGGTTTATAGATGCATGGACCTCTAAGCTTCTCCGATTGGAAAGCTCGAGTCAGAGTCCTTTGCTCCCGCCTGATGCATTCAAGGGGAGTGTGCCTGTGGAGGAGCACCCTTCGCCCGACCCTGTCGGGAAGGGGGGTGCCTCACCGGCAGATTACGTTCAGGAGTGCAGACACCCACTCATATATTATGATTATTCGAAGACACAGTTTCCAGCAAGACAGAGGAAGAGCGCACGCAAGAGTATATTTTCTCGAGCAGATTCGCACGCTCACTACTCAAGAAACTGGGGGACTTGTGTTGGGATATATTATCCCGGCCTATTACTGTTCAGGAGCCCAAGACATTATCCAGTACGGAGCCCGAGCAGCTAGGTCCATTTCGGCCCATTCTGGCCCACTTTGGCCATTAGGCCCGACATCGGCCCGTTTGGCCCATTAGGGTGGAGTACTTCCCTCACCCCTTTTCCTATTTATAGGAGGTTTTCCCTCCATGTAGAGGATCCCTTCCTTCTTCCTTATTGCTTTAGAATAGCTTGCAATACTCCATTAATGGAGCTCAAATTGTACTTGTAATGGTGAGGAGAGTCCCAATGAGAAAGAGAGGGCTTGGACATTAGCCTAAAAAGTCCCGTGGTTTTCTCCCTTTCGGGTTTCCACGTAAAAACTGAGTGTTCATACATATATTTACTATATCGTGTTGGATTAAACTCAACACTCATCTTTGAATATAGTAAATAATACGGTCAAACTTGATCAAATATGATAGAACACGGTAAAACAAGTCCAAAGTGAGAACAAAAAGTATATGATTACCTTAATTTTGTTGTTTGGAGTATGAGGATTACTTCTGAAGATTTTTATCCTGTCGAATTTCCTTGTTCAGCTATGCACTCCAATTCGGCAGAAGATTTTTAGCGTGGCTAATTTTTCGTAATTTTATCAGCCTACACTTACGTTTAGGCTTATGTAATTCAACCATTCAAATGATTTTGTTCTTGACCTCAACGATGGTCGAAAGTACTATTCGAAATCAAGAAGAGAAAGAGTGATGAGATCGAATGAAGAAGGGCGTTGCGCGCTCAGATGTTTGAGTGAAGACATTGGATAGTTCGAAGGTGGTATTCAAACTCACTCTCTCTTGACCTAAACGACATCATATGGCATATGTTTTATGTAATTTTACCTGTTTCTATTATTTAAAAAACAAAAGGGACAGGTTGTTAAAATGAGTTTGAAAAGAGGGTATTTTGTGATAGAGTTTTTTCCTGAATAATGTTAAATAAAAAATATTAACGAAATTAAGGTCGGATTAAAACAATATACCAAAATACTGCTGAAATAAACAGGGTTAGGGAAAGTCGCCAAACCAGTTGGCGACTCTCCTAAATAATACTCGATACAGAGGAAGTGCGGATGAGCTTCGCTGGGAGACACGTATGGGAAGAGAGGGGTGGGGCCAATGTAGAAGAAATCCTCTTTTTTCTTTAAATGGCTATAACTTCATATTTTTGCTCCATTTAAAAAAAATATCAAATTTTATAACTTTTTGTGATCTTTCGTATGATAATCAATGGGAAAAACTGTCAATTTGGTCCTCGTACTATCACGAAAAAAGTCAATTAGGTCATCGTACTTTTTTAAAAAATCAATCAAGTCCCCGAACTTTTTAGAAACTTACAATTGAATCCATTTGCAGTTTACTTGTCATGTCAGCAAGTCACCCATTGACGTGACGTACACGTGGCAGTCCAATCAATAGCGACTTTGTCGATGTGACACACACGTGGAAGTCCAACCAATGATGACGTGAGACACACGTGGACCGCCACGTCAGTGGATGACGTGTTGACATGACAAATAACCTGTAAATGGACTCAATTAAACGTTTTTTATAAAATTCGGGGATTTGTTTGATTTTTTTAAAAGTACAATGATCTGATTGACTTTTTCGGGATAGTAAGAATACTAGAGCCCGTTTGGTAGCACCAAAATCGGCTGTTTTGGCTGATTCTGCTGAAATTTATGATATTCTGGCTGGAGTGGCTGTTTTGGCTGATTCTGCTGATTTAAGAAAAAAATATTTTAAAAATATATTTTATTAATGAATTAAAGAAAAAATTATATGTAAAAATAGCTAAAATGGTCATTTACAGTAACTTCAGCCAATACAGCCAGAAAAGTAACTCCAACCTTACTTTTTCGGCTTATTACACAATTCAGCGAGCGAAAGTAAAAGTTACGTGTTTGGTGAAAAAGCTGGCTAATAAGCCTGATAAGCCGAAAAAAGAGTTCTACAAACGGGCTCTATGACTCGAGCTAACCTTTTTTATATATATTAGGAATAGGAACCAAGGAAACTGGGAACAACGGTTCTTGAGAAATCGTATTGTAGACGAGAGTGGGATCGATTTCGTTTCTCTGGGTTATCACGCTTGGCGACGTCACCATGTCAACGGTGTACGTACTGGAGCCACCGACGAAGGGCAAGGTTGTCATCAAGACGACCTACGGCCCGTTGGATATCGAGCTCTGGCCGAAAGAGGCTCCCAAAGCTGCCCGGAACTTCACGCAGCTCTGCTTAGAAGGTTACTACGACAACACCATCTTCCACCGCATCATCAAGTCATTCCTCATTCAAGGGGGTGACCCAACTGGCAGTGGCACCGGTACCCTCTATTTGTCAATTGACTTTGCCTATTCGTGTTGTATTCCCAACTTCATTGGTTATGTTAGCATTATGCGATTCTGCATAATTCCAATTCATTGCACAATTTTGCTGTATTATAAATGGCATAACTGTTTTCTATGTGACCTCCATATGCCTAAGGAGTGAGGTGTTGGAAATATGGTGAAATATATTCTTGGAGTGGTCTCATTTATGGGTCCTAGGAACATTAAATTAAAGTGATGAATGTGAATGATAGTGATTGGTGACTGAGGATTTGATAAAATCATACACGACATTACAGTTAGGATGACTGAACAATGGGGTGGGATCAAGGGTTTATGTTAGAGTGCTTGTCTTTAATTCTCATGAAATTTGTGTATATATCATTTTTTTTGGATTCTTATTTTTTTTAATGACAGGAGGCCTATTTTCAGATTATTATAACGAATGTAGAAAAAATACTTGGAGTAATTTGAGTTTATTTATTCATTCCCAGCCCCGCAATCACAACACAAATAAGCACATTTTCAGTATTAATGTTAACTAAGACAACAGGTTCCCCAAATAGGTGTTTCTGCAGCAATTAAAATAGATGGAAGAATGAACTTTGTTGTACTATTTGCATTTTACACAGAGAATCTCTCTTCACCATTTGTTGTCACAATAAGGTTGTTGGATCAGATCATTCTACTGTATTACTAAATCCTGATATACCATTCCACAACTGTATTGCTAGCTCTTTGTAAACCTGTTGGCCCTTAGCTCTCATGTTTAACTGTTGTAAAAACAAGGGAAAACTGTCAAATAGGTCCTCGAACTTTCATAAAAAGTCAATTAAGTCCTTCTATAGGAGACTCTGTCAGGTCGTCTTGATTTGGAGTGGTTTCCGGTGGAATTTTTTGATGATTTTTTTTGAGAATCTTATTCATCAAGTCTAGTTAACTCATACCAAATTTCAGATAAAAATTTAATCGGGAGCGCATTCAAATTAATTCGAGAATGCAAAAATGCGCAGTTATCTTCAAGAATTAATTTGAATGTGTTCCCGATTGAATTTTTAGCTGAAATTTGGTATGAGTAAACTAGACTTGGTGAATAAAATGCTCAAAGAATTTCATCAAAAATTTCCACCGGGAACTGCCCCAAATCGCGACGGCCGGACAGAACCTCCTATAGAAGGACTTAATTGACCTTTTTATGAAAGTTCGAGGACCTATTTGACACTTTTCCCCAAAAACAATCTTGTGAAATAAACAATCCGTACAAAATTTCACATATACTAGAGCTTCACTTATGCCTCCCATTGATTCATTAAAATGGTTAATTGTTTATTGCTTAGTGCAGGAGGTGAGAGTATCTACGGTGGTGTGTTCCCTGATGAGTTTCATTCTCGTCTTAGATTCAAACACAGGGGTTTAGTTGCATGTGCTGGTTCTGGCTCTCCTAATACAAATGGAAGCCAATTCTTTATAACATTAGACAAGTGCGATTTTCTTGACAAGAAGCACACCATTTTTGGAAAGGTATGCTAATGAGTAATGAGCTAATCCAATTATTAGGTTCTTTGAGTAATGGATGCTTCCTGATCTGGAAATTAAAATATCCAAGTTTTTGTAGGTTACTGGTGACTCGATCTACAATCTTTTGAGCCTAGGTGAAATTGAAACGGACAAGGAGGATAGGCCCCTGGATCCTCCTAAAATACTTTCTGTTGAGGTGCATTTTTGCCCTTTTTATAATTTTACCTCCCTATGCCTACTGTGCAATTCCACTCATTAATTTTAGATATAATTTTGTTCTTTGAATATTTTTTTTAGGTATTGTGGAACCCATTTGATGATATTATTCCAAGGGTAAAACCGAAGGATGCTTCAGTACCTTCAGCTGAGTCTGACAAAAAGGATAAAAAGCAGAAACCTAAAAAGTAAGTTTCTTGCCTTAACGCGTGTTTGGAACATTTTAAAAGGTAATGGTGTTTTATTTGTTAATTTTATACTTATGTGTAATGACGTAACTGGAGTCACAAGTCCTATCGGTGTCCTACACAGAAACTTGAACCTGCTTTCATTTGGTGAAGAAGCAGAGGAGGAAGAAAAAGAATCATCTGCCATCAATGTGAGGATAAAAAGCAGTCACGATATACTGGATGATCCCCGCCTGCTGAAGGAAGAAAGCCATGATAATAATTTGGTAATGTGTTGTTTTTTCTTATCTATATTAAAATATCATCTTATTGCACAAGTAGGGAAGGGTGAGTTCGGTGAGGTAACTTTGTGACCAAAAACAGAATGGACCAACGATTTGAGTTCGGTTCGGTGAGGTAAGGTTTAAGTAGTTAGAGTTGGAAATATGTTGAGCTGAGAAGTTATCATGGATTCAGATTGATTAAAGCCACTTATCTTACCCCCTCGGAAATAGGAGTTTGAGTCTCTTACTCGAACATACCAAGCAATCCTCAGTTTGGAGACATCTGGAAATTGGGCATGTGGAACCATTCCAGAAATGAAAGAATAACAGACTAATCCAGTACCTTTTTGGAGAGCAGTCTAGCTTAACATACCTACGAATCCAAATGAACACAGATGGGACCAGATGCCCAACTATGATTAAAAAATACTGCAACATCTCACCAACTTTGGCACATTAGAAAGTTGCACACATATTAAGCATAGTTGTTGATGGCGCGTGCGCCATATGGCGAGAAAACCCTCCATCGCATGGCAATTGCGCCATAAGATTAAACAAATCTGAACCAGTTTACTTTGTGATTTTTGGGCTTTTGGCCCTGATAAATACTTAAATAATCTGCCAGGCCATAATATTAATAAACGGACTGCAAGTCTGTTTCCCATAGAAATTGTTATCTTAAAAGGAGCAAAAGGATTTTTGAGTGTTAAACGTGAACCCTAGCAACAGTAGAAGAGCTCAACCTTTACGTCACATGCGCATTAAAAATTTAAAATAGGTATAATGGTTTAAGGTACTGAAAGTCTGAAACATCATGTACACTATAGTTTTCCAACTTTTTTTAACGTGGCATTAATTTATTAAAACCAAAGTGGCGTACTGGCATCCATTTATTCCAAAGACAGAAGCGTATTTGAACTTCAATAATTTTATACGGAGTATCAAATAAGACACTCCTCCTTCACAACTTCCTGGTATTAATCTGTTATCAATTATCATGCTATGTTACTTTATTACAGAGTTAACCGAGTGGGCAGATGCTGTCTACTGCCTCTTTAGGAACAGAGTTAAAGCTAGATCAGAAAATTGTTTGCGGAAGACCTGTTAGGATAAGTTGAAAAAATGTTTTCCAACGTTTTTTTGAAAAATAATGTTTTTTGGAACTACTTTAAACTATTTTAATTTTTAACTTCACATGTTTTGTTTAGAATGTTGTTATTCAACTTTTTTATCATGTTTTAGTGGTTGGGTGATAGAATTATAGTCTCTACAATTCACATTTTTAGTTATTTTTTTTGTCATGTGGCGACACCATAATTGTGCTATCCCCATCGCCATGGAAAAATGCCTTCGCGCCATGGACGTTGCCATGCGCCATGACAACTATGATATCAAGGAAAGTGATATTATGCAATTGATATTGAATTTGTGAAGTACTCAATGATTTTGAACCAGAAAAATGTTATTGCATATGGTATGCGGCACCAAAGTGGAACGAACAATGTAATGGGATGGAGGAATTACACGATGTAGTAAGTAGACTCCATGCCTGTGCTCCATGATTTACTTTAGTTGTGGTTCCAAGCCCACAATAGAAAAATCAAATGCAATCACGGGTCTTCGCCAAATGGATCAGGTCGCCACTCTTATGTCAATACAGACCTAAAGATCACTCTGAAGTTTTTCTAAATACTGGTAAATAAAATAGAGAAGATGCCCTAAAATATAATGATAGTGACCAAGATAAGAGAGAGTGCAAAAGCAATGTGGTTAATTTTAACAGGAAATCCACCTTGTTGTTTAAAAGAGATGGATACCATGAATCACACTGTATCTAGTAGACTTTTTTATAGTCCATTTTCAGTTTTTGGTTGTTAGGTTCAGTTCTTAGTTTCTTACTTCTTAGGCTATAAGATTTTTACACTGTTTACATGAGTTAAAATGCTTTTATTGCAGATAATAGGTTAAAAACCTAATCACTCAAAATAATGTTTCACACCTATCTAAAAGCTTCCTACTGGTGCAGACGTTATCTCATAAAAAAGCAATAAGGGATGTGCAATTGAGTGTCAAGGAAGCATTACGCTCAAAGGGGAGTGAAGTAGCGAGAGAATCAGAAGCAAAATCTCATCAATCCCATAGTGAAAGTGATGCTGATGATGATGCTGGTTTTGATGCACGAATGCGTAGGCAGATTCTGGAAAAACGGAAGGAACTTGGAAACGTACCAAGCAAGCAAAAGTTGCAAAGTGGTATATTTCTTGAGAATCTAAATTACAGAATGTTAATCACTGTATATAGTCTGTCTCACACACACACTCACACATGACTATATGTTGTTTGTTCATTATTTTTTTCTTGGGGTAAGAATGTTTTTAATTGGACTGATTTCATTCCCAGACCAGAAATAAACAAACCAGATCATACTTAGGCAGTTATAAAATACACATGGGGTAGAGATCTACTCATCTACCAAACCAATTCGGACCAGACTAGACTTATACAGACCAGACCAAAAAATTTACAAAATTTTAATTACAGTACAATTAGAAATATCCCTAATACAAGTTTGAGATGCTATATAAGTTGGAGATTTACAAAATTTCTACCATTTTTGTAGTGCCGTCTTCTACTAACAAGTTGCATGTTTTAATATTATTCAGAGAATTCCAAGGCAAAGGCTCATTCCTCATCTCCTTCAAGGTACACTTTTTTTCTCTCTTTGAAGCTTTTAAGATTTCCAGGTCTCTCTCTCCCTCAATAATAAAAGAGTGTAAGTTTGGAATGTTATAATATTCTTAAAGAACTCAATAAACTTAACTAATTACGCCTATTGTGCCAACATAAATAAGGTCCATGCGGAGAAGATTATGTAGCATGTATCTTAGATAGACTTTTTTCGAAAGGATGGTGGAAGAAAGGTTACAAATAAGAAAGCTTATATTCAACAAAAACATTTCTAGGATCCCAATATGGTGCTGGAGATCCTTTTATGAGCTTTCATTTTTCATTCTTGGGCTTGTCTGTTTGCTATATTCAACATCTTAAGGAAACTTCTTTTCTTGGCTATTCCTAAACGGATGCTCAGGTCTGCTGAAGAATATGATGACCAACCAAAAGTTGAAAGGTTGTCTATAAAGAAAAAGGGAATAGGGTCGGATGCAAGGGCTCAACGCTTGGCTACAGCAGATACAGACTTGCAATTACTGAGTGGGGCTGAACGTGAAAGACAATTGTTTAAACTAAAAAAGCGTAGGCGTCATGGACAGGAAGATGAGGTATGCTACCAATCGTCCTTTGAACTTTGCTAATTGCAGCTGATTCTCCAACATTGACTTTGATAAAATTCCTAGCTATTCTAGCTAATGGATCAAAGCGATTCATGCAAGAATGGCAATTTTATTAAATTTTAATGATGATAAAACAGTCTTTTTAATGTATGTTTTTTGCATGTATTTTGCACATTTTTATTTTTTCCTTCTAAAAATGCATTTTCAACATGTCTTTAGTTCCGGGTTTATCAGTTTTGTGTGCATTAAGAACCAAATTCAACATTTTAAAGTAATGATCTAAATTGGCAAAAGAAACAAGACTAGTTTTGCCGAGTCAACTCGTCGTAGTTTGGGGGACCAAAAATGCATTTGACCCTACCTTTCTGCTGGTGGCACCAAAAAATGCATATTGATAATGTAGAATACAAGATCCTTAATAATGCGGAGTAATATATTAATGGAATTATGAAGTCAGTAGGGCTTTGCACAATATTCCTCTTTCAATCTTCTAACTTTTTTGCTCCTGATATCTAATTGCCAGGTGTTGGCAAGGTTGGAAAAATTTAAGGGTTTGATTTCTTCAAAGTCTCAAATGTCTAATGGTGAAAATGGAGGAGAAAAAGGCGAAGATTTATCTGACTGGGCATCTGTCAGGCTAAAATTTGATTCAGAGACTTCAAAGGTGGCAACCTCTCTCTCTCTCTCTGTTCCCATTTAACTCTGTATCTATGTGTTATACTGTTGTGTGTGTTTAATATGCTAATACTCCTGGCATCTCAAAAGAGACTTTTTTGAAAACGTACTTTTGACCCATTTTGGAGTTTTATCGCTTAAAGGTGTAAATTATATGCTAGTTATAATCCATGACTTAGAAGATGATAACTATAAACTCAGGTCAGATCTGAATGAATCACTATCCTTTTAAGACATAAAAGATGAGTCTCCATTTTTTTATGTTACTTTTCAATGAAGAACCCTTCATAAATTGTATGGGCATTATAACATTTAAAGATATTTTCTAAAAACATAGAATGTAATTAGAGAATTAAAGTTTATGATTTTTTTGGAGTCTTGCATGGATACATAACACATCTTTCTCGTTCTAGTACATTACCTGCCTAGTGCTTTTTACAATATATTGCGTCAAATAGTGTACAATGGAGAATACGAAGTAAAGTGATGAATGGTATTTGTTCTGACCTGAGAAGTTGTGGTGTGCTTTGGTGTGCAGAACAAGATGTCGCGTAGCAATGACCCAAATGACTATCTGGTGCACGACCCGCTGTGGGAGAAAGGCAAAGAGAAGTTCAATAAACTGCAAGCCAAGCAGAAACGACGAGGACGGGAATGGGCGGGCAAGTCTATTACTTGATGAACCAGCCCCAGCCCCAGCCCCCTCTTCCTCATCTGCCTAACGTATATGTATGCATGCGTCAAAGCATGAAATGTAATTTTACAATATGCACCCTTGCACTGTACATGGTGGTGGGTTAATTAACATTTGGCCTCGTCTTTTCCTTTTCATTCCAAATAGATGCAATGCTGAATATATTCATTTTTTTTTGAAAATATGCTGAATATATTCATATTTAGTGGAACGTTGGACATATCTCAAGTTCCAAACATGAATATGTCAATGTCCACAAATACCCTACCCTAAAAGTTACACCGAGGGCTCCCCTAGCTCATGTCTATGGTTGTAATCGAATCGAATACTGAGTAATACTATTCGTATTCGTATAACTTGACGAATATTCGTATTTGTATATTATTCGAATCTTAAATTAGATTCGTATTCGATTCGTTAATGATATTCGAATATATTTGTATTCGAAAATTCGAATTCGAATATTTGTAGGGGAAATTTTTTCACACATTCAAATTATCATGTTTTGTATGTATTTTCTTCGATTTTCGCAAATATTTCTTTTAACTGAACTATTTTAAAAAATCAACTACTTCAAAAATCAATTGGAAACCCGTTCAAAATAAAGTAAACATTGTAAAATCAATTAATCAAAAAATCAATTACTTAAGAAAACTATTAATGAAAGCACAAAATTAATTAAACTAATAAATTTAAATTTACATTTAAACTAACAAAAAACTATTTTAGTTATTTTAATTTAAATTATTACTAGTATAAATTATAAATATAAATATAAATATAATAATCTAAAATATAATTCATGCATATACACATCGAATATATTCGTATAACATAAGAATCGAATATATGTATATTCGTATTCGTATTCGAATTTTATACGAATAACAGAACCGATTTGTATTCGTATTCGTATTCGATTTTTTCGAATTCGAATCACGAATCAGATCAAAATTATTCGATTCGCTTACAACCCTACTCATGCCATGCCCCAATGGGGACAAATCCATCCCATGGATAACCAATCTCAGTCAACCTGCCAGGGTCTTAGGTCAGCCTGACCTACTGCAAACCCTGTTGGTTCATACTCCATAGGCTTATCCCAATTAACTCCCATCCCTAACCTAAATGTACCATTAAAAACCAAATATGAGAACCTAATATATATAGACAATTAGATATAGAGCCCGTCTCGCACTTGCTTTCCCAGCCAGACAGAATCTTGGAAGGCCTCGCAAATTAATAACAATCTGGTAACACTTAATTGGTCGATTCTATTGAAATTAATGAAATTCTAACTGAAATGGTAGACTTAGTTGATTCTGGTGAATTTTGAAAAGATTATGTTTAAAATATATTTTAGAGAAAAGAGACAAATAAGTCCTCGAACTATTTTCACTCCTGCAATTAGGTCCCTAAAGTGGAAAACTTGAAAATAATCCTTCAACTCATTGAAAATTAAGCAATCAGGTCCTTTTTTACCTACTGGTACAGGTAAGGAGTTGAAAAATTACTGATACCAGCAGGCAAAAAGGATCTGACTGCTTAATTTTCAACGAGTTGAGGGTGTATCTGCAAGTTTTCCGGTTCATGGGCTTAATTGCATAATCACAAATAGTTCGAGGGCTTATTTGCCCCTTTTCTCTATATTTTATTGATAAAATAGAGGAAAAATTATATGAAAAAATAGTTAAAATGATAATCTACAACAACTTCAGTCAATCTAGCCAGAAAGTAATTTCAACCTTACTTATTTTGACTGTTACATCATTCAACGCGCGAAATTAAAAATTATGTTTGGTGAAAAAATTGTCAATAAGGGCCGATAAGATGAAAAACATGGTCACAAAATAGGCTTTAAAATACGGAGTAGGAAATACTCGGTAGCTTAAAAGTTGCAATAATGATGTAAATCCTGGATTTTTAAAATCACTTATATCGATACGAAGTGTGTTCGTTGTAATGAAGTCCAAATCAAGCAGGCCTTGCTCTCTTGTTCTTAGAATCAGTGGAGGAGCCAGGGAATGGCAAGCGCTCCCGCTTCGGGCATTTTTTTTACTACTACTACTTATGATATATTTAATGACCCCTCTTTTTTTCAAAATAAATACTAATTAATGATAATTTTAGATTAAGTTTTAACGTATATAAGGCAAAATATTTCAGGAAACGTATTTGTCTCTAGGAATACAAGTATTGACTGTAGCATACCACACTCATTTGAATGCAAGTGTGGATTGTTTTAGACATTTAATGACACACAAGTTGGCTTTTCGTGGTTATAATGAACAAGAAAGTGTTGAATGAGTGAAAATGAGTGTCTACTTGAAAGAGGAGAGTGAGAGCCATCTTGTGAGAGAAGATGGCTCAAATATATCGCTTGGTGAAATGTATGTGAACAAGTTAGCTAGAGTGAAGTAGTTTCATATACAAAAAGTGAGTGAGAGTAATATTGTCAGATTAAGTCTTTGTATTATAAGTGTGTGGATATATATATATATATATATATATATATATATATATATATATATAAGTGTACAACAGTCTATGAGCTTGTGATCATGGAAAAGGCCGAGGACGTGTTTTCTGACATAAAGTTATTATACAACATTTTGAACAAATTAAAACTCGTATGATTGATCTACCGAGATTATAGATATGAGTCGGGCAGTTTCTAATGAAATAATTTGTGCTAAGGTATTACGTTTTTATTGTTTTTATTAAATTTTGAGCAAATACACAAAATTCTTAGCTTCATACGCTCCCCTTCAAAAAATCTCTGGCTCCGCCACCGCTTAGCATTGCTTTCCAGTTTCCATGGGGCTCGCTTTTTCTTTGCCAATCTCAGCGCTCGTCTATTTTCTTCCCTGCACAAACTTCAATCCATGTGGTTAATTCTCTCGAAAGCAAAGCTCAACACCTTGATGCTTGAGTTCTTGGAGAAGCACGCCAAGCATAGATACATCAACAGGTTAAGGTTCCACAACACCTTGATGCTTGAGTTCTTGGAATGCATGTGGTTAATTCACAAATTTTGAGCAAATACACAAAATTCTTAGCTTCATACGCCCCCCCTTCAAAAAATCTCTGGCTCCGCCACCGCTTAGCATTGGTTTCCAGTTTCCATGGGGCTCGCTTTTTCTTTGCCAATCTCAGCGCTCGTCTATTTTCTTCCCTGCACAAACTTCAATGCATGTGGTTAATTCTCAAACAGTTTCAGGAATGCAGTCCGTTTAGACACATAATGAGAATTTTGGAGGTGAAGGCTTTGAAATGATCAATCAAATATCATGAGTGATTGATAGAAGTAAAGCTCCCCTTCTAAAATGAAGGGTGATTGAAATGTTTTATAATTTCTTTTCATGGTTTCTTACTAAGGGGTGTTTGGAACTGATTCTGCTTCTGCTTCTTTTTTAAAGCAGAAGCAGAATCAGAATCAATTTTCAGAAGCTGGTCTCCCCCAGCTTCTAGAAAAACTGATTCTAGGAGTAAATTAGAGCACCAGAATCCCTTCTGCACTTTCACCCAAACACTCCAACTTTCGCTTCTGCTCCTTGAAGGAGTAGAAACAGTTTTAAGAATCACATCCAAACACCCCCTAAACTGCACCTAAAATTATTATATTGTAATACTCTTCTTCAATCACGGCATGCAACAAAACCTACCGGGACTTGGAAATTTCCTTCCTCTAATCTATACGAGTACTACGTATTTTATACGCGGGTTGCTTTTCTTCTTTCTGGGTAGGCATGACAATAGGTCGAGGTGGGTACTGCAAGATCTGGACCTGACTCGTGACTTCACTAGGTGGACCCGCCCCGCCCCGTGACCCGCACAGGTCCAAACTTCTCGACCCATGACCCGCCCGCCCCATTGTAACCGAATTAGCTAGCATGCATTTATATTTGTGTGAAGTTTTTACCACTTAACTCTTCAAAAGTTTGTCTCTAAATAATTATTAAAAAACAATATATTAAATCAAAGTCACAATACGCTTAAAAATTTAAAAATTAAGAAAAAATACTTAGAATTGAATAGTTGATCTATGTATATTAATAATTGAATATATAAAAGACATTGATATTTTGTCGTTCATCTCATTCAAATACAAATATTTCAAAGTAATATATTATAAGACCAAAGAATTTATGATTTATTGTATACACATGCATGTATGTAGAAGTATATTTGTAGTATAATTTTAAAAAAATATGTATACTTATATATTGAGTGGATCGGGTCGGGTCGGGGCGGGACGGCACGAGTCAATAATAAGACCCAAACCTGCCCCATTGTATGGGCGGGGCAGGGCGGACCCGCCCCATTTGCAAGACGGGGCAGACCGCACAGATGTCTTGGGCCAGAGCGGGTCATTGCAGACCGATTTTTTTACATGCCTATTTCTGGGAATTCATTTTCCGTTTTCTTTCCTGACACACCTTATTGGCGGCACTTGTTTTTCATTATAAACTAGTGTTTTATCCGAGCGTTGCCCGGGCAGATGTTGAGAATGCTTGAATACTTTGTATGATATAAATAAATAATTCATCATTTTACTTGAAATAAACGTTGTTCGTTGCGGATAGTAATTTAACTAAAGAGACATTATAATGTAACACCACACACCCCAAACATCACATTTTTAGATTTTGGGAAACCTCTTAATAAAAAACATTCACCGTCTTAGTGAAGAAATTTGTTTCTTTTGAAGGTATGAGTATCTTAAGATGTCTTTGCTCATTACTTTTGGTATTGCAATGTACTACAATTGGCCATTAATGAAACTTATCTCTCAAAGTATAAATCAAATTTTATGTGATACCCTCTAAACTTAACTTTTATTGATTGTCGTTTCAAAGCTTGTGAGCACATAAAATTACCAAACATATTTTGACAACCCGCCAACTTATTACACTAGTCAAACCCGTTGTTTGAACCCGATATTGACAATCCACTAACATAATCCGCTATTCGCTATTCGCTAACCGCTAAACATCAAACACGCTCTTTATCTTTCATAGCTTATCGAGTTAATTATGACTATCCTACTTGATTTTCAGTCAGGTTATGACCAACCACGTCCCATTTAATAAAGCTTTTGCGTGATTAAAATTTCTCAATAACATTATCGGGTCTCCGATTGTCAAATGGAGAATATGATTAAGCAATGCAGTCATTGTAGCGCTACTACGATATTCGATAGTGTACATATCAACATGGAAGATATTACCATTGTGAAAAAGGATAATATTAATTGAACTAAGATATGTAACTCCTAGACTAACAATCAATTATAGCATGTAGTTACTTATGTCATTAATAACATCTATCGTAGGGGCAAGCTAGGATTAGTCTTTCTTGTGTGTGTG